GATATTTCGATTTCACGCATATTAACGGCATGCTCTTGATGAATATAATATGCACATTATCGGTGTAATATCTCCTACACGTTATATTGTTGGAAATGTTTCGAGAAGATCTATCCAACCATACCACATGATGAGCATGAAATATAGTGTAAAAGAAGTCATCATGTGATGAAGTTTCGGATTGTACCAATCTTCTCGTAAAAATTCAGATTTACATCTAAACTTCAAAACCTCGTAACTTCTTCGTTTGAACTCCAAAACTTAAGTTCTTTATAAGGTTGGAAAACTCATTAAAATACCTTTCTAACAATACTAATTTTATTGCACAACCATTAATATATAGAAAACAGTAAATTATCAAAAGATGTCATTAAAGACCACATAAGGTTCCAAAACATTATATATAAAATTCATAACCCAATTGTATCATGTAATGACATATATAAGCATGTATTACAGCAAGGAATTCAACCTTGAGCTTGTTTGGAAATGATTAAAATTCAATTAAAATTGAAAATATAGTCGTTATTGGGTTCCACTCGTCTAATAAAAGTTAACTCCAATGACTATATTTTCAATTTTAATTTGATTTTAATCCCTCCCAAACAAGCTCCTTATGACTCTGATACCAATAAAGTAATTCGCAGTATATTTTAACGTGAATTTCGAATCAAAATGTTTACTTGAAATGATAAATTTCAGGATATTTTGAATGGTTGAATAACCTCACTTTCCAAAATTTCAATTCTAAAATTTTTTTACATTTCAATGGTCGCACTACCGATCACAATGGAAGAGGATTAATAGCCACAATCTAAATGCCAATTTTTGTAATTTTCGTGCCAAAATAGTGGTTCTAGGTGCCTTTAAATTTTGATGATATTATCCATACAAATTTTCATCATTTTATTGTCATATTTTCCCTCTCTTCGAAGTGCAGACAAAGTTATGGGAATTATGTAAAAACTTGAAAGTTGTAGGGAGTTGAGAGAAGTTATGAGTTTGAATTCTATTCAAATCTCTATCTCCAATTCACTTTAATAACTTATGGGACGAGTAACCCCACATGGACGACTCATGACCCATATTTTCTAACAATAAAATTAATCAAATAAATTCAAAAGCAACTATTGAATTTCAAAAATTTATTTCAACTTCTTAAAAATATGTCAAACCAACGTTTATGTATTTGCAAGATAAACCTTGTCGTTAGATACATCATTAAACTCTTTAAATTGACTAATGGTTTCGTGAATGGTAACTAACTGAAATGAATGTATTATTTGATGACTATCTCTTAAGAAAAAAATGGTCGGGGACTAAGATACAAACTTACTGAACAGATATTTTTATTTTTATAATAACTTTTACTGATGAAAAATAAAAAGTAATTATTTCGCTTAGGAACCCCTTTTCAACACCGCGCCAGTCTCTCTCTCACGCACACAGACACTGTTCTACCGCCTGATACTTTGAGAAACTCGCTATCATCAATTCACCATGCCTCGAGGATCCTCTCAGTCCCAGGCCTCATCCGGTCCCACGTCCCGCCCGAGCACCATGGGCATGCCCCCGCGTGGATCGGCTGCCGGCATGCGCCGCCGCAGGCTGGGAGGCGGCTCATCCAATTCAACCTCCTCTGGCGTGGGCGGAGGAGCATCGGGCAGCAACATGCTGAGGTTTTACACGGACGATGCTCCGGGACTGAAGATCAGCCCCACTGTCGTCCTTGTCATGAGCCTCTGCTTCATCGGCTTTGTTACTGCGCTCCACGTCTTCGGCAAGTTCTATCGCTACAAATCTGGACCTGGTGCTTGATTCTCACAGATGTTCGGGTCACAGGTTCGGATCCTGGAATTCGAAGCAGCTTGTTTGATAAAATTGGTATTTCGGTGTGCCACGTTAAGTTTTAGCTTTGTAAATGTTTCTGACTTCTGGAGGACGCATAAAAGAGCTTTCATGTTTCTTTCTGTTTTGATGTTAATATACTTTTTGAATCGTACGTGAGTAACGTGACATTGATCGAAGTTCAAATAATTTTACTGCCGTTAACTTCATAATACCAATTGATTATTTATCCTAATTTGAGTACGCTGCATTTTGATGTTCTGCATTTGTCATTTTAATCCGTGTAAATTGATCTGTGATGAAATTCTAGTGATTATGTATTGGATTATGACCTTTAAACTCTAGAAAATAACTTGAGCTTGCAGGTTTTTATAAATTGTTACTGTAAATGCATTAATTTTCACTGTGTATTGGAGCTATGATTGTGTCCCAGCCCTGCTTATATTGGTGTTGCTTAAATTGGGGTTTAATGCAAGTATTGTTCCCTTATATTTTGTACATTGATAGAATTCCCAACTTTATATGGTCGGGACATTATTAATTGCCCATAAGTGAATTCCAAACAGCAATGAAAGCTTTTTCTGATAAAATTTCATGTATCCAGAGACACTACTAAACGCTGTAGCTATGGATCTCAATCAATTTAGAATAGCGTGTAGTATACTGATGAGTGATTATTTATTGATGAAAACATGGAAAATTTATGGGGCTCCCTGCACTCATAGGTTACAGATAACGAAGCTAATTTTTAATGTTTATATGATTCAATGGATAGTAATTCTCCTCAGGATATTAAGCCTTTGTTTGTGCCCCATTCTTTAAAACTTATTTTTCCTCGAACTCATTTTCAACCGTACATTCTCTCAATAAAATAATTTTGTACGTAAACCTAGAACTTTTTCTGCTTTCTAATCATATATTCTCCAAAAAAAAAAATGACTTTACAAAATCTATTCGCAACTAGGACTCAAACATGGGCTAAATGTGTTATAGCCTACATATGCTGCATGTTTGGTCTGCATAAGTGCATGGTAATAATTATTTGCTTCTTTTTCTTCCTTAATATTGTTGAATACGGTGTAATCCACCTTGCTAAACATGCTAAATAGGGTCTAATGTTATGTAAATTGCCTGTCCTGTTACCTTAACTGATAAAGTTTGTTACAGTTCAGAAATTTTATGCCATCCAGAAGTTTATGGCTTCATTTGTTTGTAAAATTGTTGTACCAAATAGGTAATGGGTTGATATTGGCAGATTTTTGCTTCTACATGTTGAATTGCTTTTCAGATTTTGGTACCACTCTCCTATAATCCTCCCTGCTGTGCCCTGCCTCTTCTATTTGTCTTTATTGTGATTATCAGTTTTGTTGTTTGACTTGGCTTTATCAATGTACTGCTAACTTCTTTCCGTATGTCTAACATTGCTCTAGATCGTGTTCTTGCTGATTACTTTGGTTGTGTGTTTCACTTCTCTCTTTCTTTATGCTTGTCTGATTTTAGTTTATGTTGTACACGACGCTTGATGAGCATCCTGTAAAATCAGGTAAAGTTACATTATATCATCACTATATTTTTGCCAAATGACGTTTTGATTTGTGCAGCTTTGTACATGACCTCTTGATGATGGAAATTTACACGAGTTTGTTTTCCTTTGTGCCTTGCAGCGTTGGTCATGTGTATAATGTCCCCTGTTCATCTCCTGCCCATCAACTATCTCATTTTAGCTTTCTAATTTATTTTTATAATGCATTTATTGGTAATTTTTGTCTTGCATTTGAAGATTTACGTAGGAGCATTTGAGTGCCTTTTATTGTATTGTTCTTTTCGCTGCAAGCTATGTAATTGATGTAGTGCTTTTGGCTCGAGTCACAAAAGATCCAAAGTTCAACATCTCACTTGCACGTAGGATGCAAGTAATGGATCTCTTATGTTATTTTTCTTGCCGTTCAATTCATATTTGGTATAGAAGTCACGCGGTCATTTTTCAACTTAGAGAGAGAGAGATGATTTTAGCCACCAATGAACATATTTCTTGAACATTATAATTGTAGTAATTAAGCCCTTGTTTGCAGGGGCGGACCCACTAAGGGCCCTAATTTTTGACATTTACGAAGTAGTCCTTATAGTTTTTTAGTCCATAAATTTAAGTTTTTAACCCATAATGTTTACATAATTCTGTCTTCCCCTCACTGAATCACGTTCCTGGGTTCGTCATGGCTTGTTTGAGCTTCATTATTTAAAAAAAATTGATTTTGGAATAGTATTTTTAAAAAAATGTGTGGTTAAAGAGTAAGGTGAATTTTTGAATTTATATGTAATATTATTTTATTAAGAGAATGTGTGATAGATAAGAGCAGAGAAAAATGAATTAAAATTTAATAGGTGTTTGGGCTAAAGCACCTCGTGAATTGTCAACAAGTCAATGTTTTGAAAATGATTAGAATCTGGATTATACTCCTCTAAATTTGTCACTCTCTTGAATCATTGATAACCTTGAATAGTGTCCTGAATTATTGAGCATGTTTAGCATCTTATCTCCCAATTTTTGTGGCATATATACCCTTAACACTAAGTTCATGTTTGATTTTGTTAAAAGTCATACTTTTAGTTACTTTGATAAAAATTGATGAAATGTGGTTAAAATTTGAAAGAGTTATATGATCTATAAAATATATGGTTGGAAATAAATTTAAAAAAATAAGGCCAATCAAGGACTAAGGTCCCGTTTGTTTCTGATTAAAATCAAATTTTAATTTAAGTTAAAGTCAAACAATTAATATGAACCACATCTTTCATGGGTCACACAACTTTTCAACCACACATTTCAAAAATTTCTATCACAACCTACTAAAAATCTAATTTTAATTCCCACCAAACACTCTTTAAGTAGGGTATTTTTAAAACTCGTGGATTTAATGAAATATGAGGTTATTCCAATCAAATGTAAGTGTAGAAATGAAGTTTAATCAATTTTATTTTTTTTAATATCAAATAATCACTAAACAAATGCGGGAAAAGCGAAAATTATCTCTAGCCATTGCAGATGTTGGAAAAGGCGTGGAAGGTCAGTTTCAAACATTCCAATTAGGTGGTACATTTGGCTACCAAAAGGCTAAATAATAATTACGTTGAAATAAAATTGTTTTCTTTCGTACTTATTCATTAATATAAGTAATTTCTTTCGATCTTAGCCAAATACGTATTCTTCATCGACACAAAGCACTATCCACTTTCTAGCTCTCTCTTCTGTTTTCTGCTAATAATTGCACTGTATATAAAATACTCCAATTGATTCAGACTCCAAAAACTGATCGATCCATCTAATTTTTACCAACTGTTATATTCTGAATCATTAATTAGAGACGGAAAAAATCAATAAAGCTTTGGATTTTTTGGAAAGATAGAGAGATGGAGGTTCGAAACGATGATGATATTCATACATATCATCAAGAGCAGCAACAGTCATCACCCAACCCATCCAAGCAAGTCAAGGCGTCTCCTAATTCTGTTGATACAAATTCTGTTACCCGAAGGTGCAATTTTTTATTCGTATCTGTTTTTTTTTTAAATCGAATGTTCTTCAGTTTCCGAGAAATTCAATCGAGATTTATGCCTATTTTGATGTATTTTCAGGTTGCAGAAAGAGCTGATGGCTCTCATGGTATGTGAGTGTTAAATCAGATTTATATTAAGCTCAATTTTCTGCTGCTGTGCTTGCAGTTTTAATTGATTGTCTTTGGTGTTAATTTTATTAAGCGTAGCTCATTTTTTGGGGAAATTTTTTGCTCAACTTTGGTTTCAATAGGATTATAGGACTATGTACAGAAGTAATAAAGAAATAAGATGATGAATTAAGATATAGAAACAAAATGAAAAAGAAAGAGCTATGATTTAAATCCATTTGAGGACTCTGGTTTTTAGCCAATACTCCTATAGAAACGATTTAGATAAATGGGGAGAAAAGCAATGACAAATTTAGATTATGATGTTATAGTTTCAAGCTGAAAATACTTGTTCGTGGACCATCTATTTTGTTTAGTTATATGCTTTCAATTCATTCCCTGAATTCTTACAACACTGTGAACATGAATGGTCTCTACTTTATGTTTGTTTCTAATGAGAGATTCATTGGGCATTATATTGTTGCTTTTTTTTTTTCCTCATTTTTGGAACTGTTTGAGAAAGTATCGCTATATGCGGTTGTCGGCAAGCTGTAGAATTGGTATCGTGTTTCCTCGATGGAAAATTTTGACAAAAAGGATCACATCTATCTGCGCTTACAATATCAGGCTTTTAATTAAATCGGAAAACTGTTATGCCCTTGTAGCACAACTTAAGTGAAGATGAGGATCAGTTTTATTCATCATATTGTTTCCATGAGAGCGACAGATAGATTATTGAGTGGATACATTTCAACAATCTTATTTTAAACAATAATTACAAGTATCACTAACAGTTCGCTGAAATTGCATGAATTTGAGGCAGACCTCGTAATGATTGAATAATATTATGAAATTTCATCTGGTGATTGTCTGACATGTAATTAATTTGTACAGATGACTGGTGGTGATCTCGGAGTGTCCGCCTTCCCTGAAGGGGAGAACATATTTACTTGGATTGGTACCATAGAGGGTGGCAAAGGAACCATGTATGAGGGTCTATCTTACAAACTGTCATTGCGCTTTCCCCTTGATTATCCTTTCAAGCCTCCTCAAGTTAAGTTTGAGACAATGTGCTTCCATCCAAATGTTGACCAGTATGGGAATATTTGTTTAGATATCCTTCAGGTAGCAGTTATGATTTAAATTTTTTTTGACGTTTGTCCATTCTGTTCTTGCTGAATTTGAATGCATAGATCAGGGTTTGACGTGGTCTTATAACCACTTCACAGTGTAATTCGTTTATCCATTATCTATTCTTATAGAGTTTAATAGTGGTTGTGTTTTTCGAGTACAAGGAATTTTTTACTATGTTTTCCCTTTTTTTAAGTCAATAACAAAGTCTCTGTATACTTACAGGATAAATGGTCTTCAGCATATGATTGCAGAACCATTCTTTTATCTATCCAGAGTCTATTAGGAGGTCAGGATAATTGTTACTGTTAATCTCTCTTTTTGTGGTGCATTCTACTTTCGTCTCACCTTGTAGTTCTTGCATACAGAACCCAATATAGAGAGCCCTTTGAACAATTCCGCTGCTTCACTTTGGAAGAACCAGGAAGGTAGGCTAATTTCTCATGCATTTTTTGTTTCATAATATGAGGTCTAGTAGATTAGTACTTGTATAATTCTTGATGCTGCATGTAGTATGAATATAAGATATCCAAACCAGTTTTGACTCAAAACTGAGAAGTTTCAATTTGAAAGATTGCTGGTCATGTGAGTGAATTTGTTTGAATTGCAGAGTACAAAAAAATGGTACGAAAACATTACACGGGCGGTGAAGCATTTGAGAGCTAATCTGCATGTTCTTGTTGCAAAGCCGAAGATCAAATTCCTTCATGATTGGACGACTATACTTGGGAAAAGTAGAGGTTGGACAGAGACCCTTTGTTCTATCATCAAAAATCAGAACGTGGATGGAGTTATTCCAGCTTTTCTTCTCATACTCGACTTTAGTACCAGTAATTATTTTAACAATTTGTTATAATAAATTCTATCAATGGCTACAACTTGTTATCATATATTAATTGTTTTTGGCAATTTGTTATAAAATTGCCCTTTTTATAATTGAAATGGATTTCAAGCCTCAACTTAACTCCAATGGCTGCAAGCCGGTTGGTGGATTGGGTTTAATGGTTTTTTGTAGGGAAGAACAATTGCAGTGGCTCCAAGTTGGATCCGGGTTAAAGATTGACTGTGCAACTGAATTGAAAAGTTAAGTCAAAATACAATCGCTATAAATTAAGAGTTGAGATCTGTTATTCAATTTTTGTGGTTCATCCAATTAATTATTGAAACATCATTTTAAATTAACATGTCATTAATTTGGTAGGTTAATGGTGAAGTTAATAAAAATAAATATGAGATGACATGTTAATTTAAAAATGACTTGCTAATAATTAATTAAGTAAACAACAAAAATTAGACAACTGATCTCAACTCGTGTAAATTGCTTAGCAAATTAAGAAAAGAGGAAGCTGATCTTAAACTGTTAATACTCAATGAAGAAAATTGTCTACATCTCTATGAATTATCACATAACTTTTCCATATCAATCTAGGGTTTATCCACTTTGCATGTGATGCCTTGTCAGTGCCACATGGCCCTGGCAGGGTAGCACGCTCCATCATACTATATGAAGTTCGGTTTTGATTTCTAACTTGATTGAGTGTCAAAAAGTTATGAAGTGATGCATATTTTTGTGACGACTACCCAACGATTTGACAAAAATTGCCTGCGTGTCCATTGTTGGAAAAGTTGAGGATTAAGTTGCTAATTTTAAATATTAAAGACTTAATGCTAATAAGTAAAAAGTTGAGGACCAAAAGGGAAATTGTCCTAAAGTGTAAATGAACAAAAATACATTACTATTGCCGTTATACCAAATATGGAAACTGTACTTTCTCCCGCGAACGCCATACATAAACCGCTATTAACGGTGAACCCTTCGTCAAAGAGAAGGGGACAATGGAAGAACTTGAAGAAAAAAACCCTTGTTCTTCTCCCTGTCCACAATTATTCTCCAATTATCTCTTCCTTTACAGCGAATTTGTCAGTCCCCTATACAATTATATAAAAAAAAATTACAAGAAGCAGGGGACAAAATGAGTGTGATTGATATTCTTTTCAGGGTTGATTCCATCTGCAAGAAATATGAAAAGTACGATGTTGAAAAGCAGGGTTCCCAAAATGCCTCCTCCGATGATGCCTTTGCCTGCCTCTACGGCTCCTTTGAGTCGCAAATTGACGCTGTCCTGCGTGTAGTTATTTTTTCCAAAAATTTTGATTTTGTATTTTTGTTATTTGATCGTTAACTTATTCGTCATTTTTCTCTTTCACATACAGAAATCGGAAATGGCGGCAATGGAGACAAACAGGGCAGCTGTGGTGGCGATGAATGCTGAGGTGCGGCGAACTAAGGCCAAGCTTATGGATGAAATTCCTAAGTTGCAGAAGCTTGCTCAGAAAAGAGTTAGTTTATTCTTACTTATCCCTTTTGTTTATTTTGGGGGTTTTATTTTCTATATGGAACTTTTACATGTTTATTGTACTGTGGATATGTTTATCAACTGTACTTTCAAGCATCAAACGCCGATGACATCTTCCATTTCGGAGATTTGGCTCAATTTGGTTGAAATGGAATAATTAATTCATATATGTTGATACACAAGGAAGGAGATGAGTTCTTGGAGTTAAATTGCTTTTGCCCATTGTTTAGTTGGCTGCCTGATTCTTCATTTCATTTACTTTTATCACTATATAAAGGCTGATTTGAAAATTAATATGCCTTAGCAATCTGCATGACAGTTTCGAAATTAGCAGTTGCCAGACTTTTCTGGTCAATGGAAAGGTAGGTAGCTTTTGTGCCCAATTCAAGTTCTGATTAGGATTATTACATTGTTAACAGGTCAAAGGGCTCTCCATAGAAGAACTAGAAGTTCGTAAGGACCTGGTTCTTGCACTTCCTGATAGAATTAAAGCAATACCTGATGGAACTGAGGCGAAACAAACTGGAGGCTGGGGGGCTTCAACATCTCATAAAAATATAAAATTTGACACTGGTGATTACTGTTGGTTGGATGATTATTATAAATTGGATTTTTATTGAACTTTCAATCTTTCTGTTATCAGATTTCTTATAATCTTTATAAATGAAATATCAGATGGGCAGTTTGATGACGATTTCTTTCAAAAAAGTGAAGAGTCGAATCAATTCAGGCAAGAATATGAAATGCGGAAGATAAAGCAGGCTTGTAACTTCCTTGATCCATTTGTTTTTTCTCTATACACAATTTCCCACCCAAGTACAGTTAAGTATTTTCTAGTGTTTGAATTTAATTTCCTGCAGGATCAAGGTTTAGACATAATATCAGAAGGTCTTGATACACTCAAGAATTTGGCTGCCGATATGAATGAGGTTTGTTGGTCGCATTATGTTTCTTGTTTGATACCGTCTGAAGAAATCTGAGACTGAATTTCTTACATTTTCTCCTTTTTCACCCTTGGGTTTAGGAATTGGACAGGCAGGTTCCATTGATTGATGAAATTGATACTAAGGTCTGAAACATTTTGTTCACAATACAAACCTAGTTGCTTCAATAAACAATCCTGAACAGGCTATTTCACCCAGTTGTTTCCATCTTTCTTGCAGGTGGACAGGGCAACAACTGACCTAAAAAATACTAATGTTAGACTGAAAGAAACAATTTTCAAGGTAAGTATTAGTAATTTTCTTAAACTTAAATAGAAAACTGTATTACTTCAGATTGACATTCTCATTGTATTCATTTCCTATTTTGAAACAAATTATTACAGATAAGGTCCAGTCGAAACTTCTGCTTGGATATCATTCTTCTGTGTATTATTCTGGGAATTGCTTCCTATTTGTACAAGTGAGCTTCTGTCCTTTTCATTTATAAGCAATATTTAAGATGTATGTTACATATTATATCTTCTTCGGATTTTCCGTTACTTCGTGGTGGTCTTTCTGTAGTGTCCTGAACTTATTGTCTTCCATAACATTCGTGTGTGAAATGATTTATATCATTGCATTATCAACATTTCAAATATCATCATGTAGTTTGATTTGCAATGGAAATGATTTTACGTTTTGGAGTATGTCTTGCTCACCCCTTATTATGTATATGTGTGGCTGCATTGCGGATTTGAATATGCTTTGCATTTGTTTGGTGCTCACTTATGTTTAACAAGAGTGAGTATTGAGCAATTAAATTACAGCGAGTCTCACAGACTGATGTCTGGGGTAGCTTGGAGGCAACAAGCCTCCAGCCTCCCCTACCCCCACACTCTGTTCTAAAACGCCTAGGC